TAAACTACTTTACATGGCTCCATCAACGGAGCCATGTAGTCTAGACACACCTACGTCTACACTGGCATGATTTTCCGGAAATGCTTTTAACGGAAAAGTTTTCTGTTAAAAGCATTTTTGGAAAAGCACGTCTAGATTGGCAGGATGCTTTTCCACAAAAGCACTTTTTGCGGAAGAGCATCCGTGCCAATCTAGACGCACTTTTCCACAAAAAAGCCCTGATTGCCGTCCATGGCCAATCTAGACACGCTTTTCCGCAAAAAAAGCCCCCGTCGCCATTTTTGCGATTGGGGCTTTTTTTCGGAAAACAAATCTCTGCTGTCTACACTGGCTCTTTTGCGCAAAAGTCTTTCAGAAAAAGACTTTTGCCCAAACGGGAGCAGCATAGTATTTCTGCAAAAGCACTGACAATCTTACATGAGATCGTCAGTGCTTTTGCGGAAATTCAAGCGGCCAGTGTAGACAGCTGGCAAGTTTTTCTGGAAAAGCGTTAGCTTTTCCGGAAAAAGTGGCCAGTCTAGACACAGCCCCTGAGAGTAAAGAGCAAAATGAAATTGAAGTTGGGAAGATATTAGTTAATGTACATAGGTGAAAACAATCTGAATCTTATGTAGTTAAGTGGGAGATAGAAATCAGGGAAGCCATAAAGAAATCTAGGGGTGATGGTAAATGGTCAATTAGATATGAGTTTACAGTATGACATGGTGGCAAAAAAAAGGTAATGCCACATTGGTCTACATGCACAAATATATCACGTCATAACTGGAGAAGCACTGTCTCCTCTCCACCTGAGTTTGGTGTTACTGCACCTGAAATGTGACATTCAGTTCTGATCACTAATCTATTGTAAGATCATCACAAATTAGAGGGAGCTCATAGAACCATAAATTGATCAGGGGGATGCATGACTTGAGTTTTGAGGAAAGACTGCAAACCCTTATTCATTTAAGTTGTCCTGTTGTAGTCAATATGATTACTTGCATGTGTGGAGTTTTGCACAATTTCAATCCTAACCCAGAGTAAAAAGAAAACACAATATTTTATTTACTTGTTTTTCTTCCACTAAAGCAATGACAAAATATTAGAAAACAAGGAAGGCAAACGTTTGTAATTACTGCAATTCACTGTATACCTTTCTTTCCCCTTACTCATTTCCACTAATCTTTTTACTGATTTCTATTATCTTGAACTGACTTGTTGAGCATGAGCCCTCAGGTTCAAATGACCCCCCTTCATTTACCATCAGCACTGTTCTAACTCCAACCTTCCTGACATTGTGTTTTAATGTGAATTCTAGACACAGAACTGAAATATTGATCTAATCGATTTGTAACAACACACAAAGTGAAAACATGCAGAGATTGATTTTTGTTAAGCCTTGGAATATTTCCTTATCAAGGTAGGTTATTGAAATATACATGGCACTCTTTAAAACAAATACAACCTTGTACTTAAGAATTTCCACGGTTATTTTTCAACATGTGCTTAAGTCCTGTTGATTTAAATTTAAGTGGATACTTTTATGCTTTTCTAAATCAGGACCCTAAAAACGATGGACCAGATTCTAAGCTGATGTAAAACTGGTGCAATATATCCATTCTAGGGTGACCATACACTATATTTTGGCAGGGACAGTCCCTTATTAAAGTCCTGTCCCAGCCATCCTGATTTTGTTCTCCCCAAAAGGAGGCATTTGCCCAATTTGCTCTTGTAGACTTGATCAGTGAGCAAGAGCAAACAAGACAAATGCCCACTTTTGTCAAAAAAGTGGAAAAGTGTGGTGTGGTGTGGAGAGAGGAGATACCAGCATCCTGCAAGGGGAGGCGCGGGGAGGGAGGAGGAGCATTCCACCATGAGCAACCCCCCCCCCCCAGAGTTACAGTGACCAGAAACAGCATGAGGGGGGGGGACACTCTGGCAAGTGGTCCGGAGTGTCCTGTTTTCTCATAGCAAAATATAGTCACTCTATATAATGCATACACTAACGCTGTGTCTACATTGGCACCCTTTTCCGGAAAAGGGATGCTAATGAGACAAGTTGGAATTGCAAATGCCACGGGGGATTTAAATATCCCCTGCGGCATTTGCATGAACATGGTTGCCACTTTTTTCCAGCTCGGGGCTTTGCCGGAGAAAAGCGCCAGTCTAGCCGGGATCTTTCAGAAAATAAAGCCTTTTCTGGAAGATCCCTTATTCCTGAATTTCAGAGGGATAAGGGATCTTCCAGAAAAGGCTTTATTTTCCGAAAGATCCCGTCTAGACTGGCGCTTTTCTCCGGCAAAGCCCCAAGCTGGAAAAAAGCGGCAGCCTTGTTCATGCAAATGCCGTGGGGGATATTTAAATCCCCCGCGGCATTTGCAATTCCAACTTGTCTCATTAGCATCCCTTTTCCGGAAAAGGGTGCCAATGTAGACACAGCCTAACAGGGTATCTAGGAATGCATTTCAATATGTGACGGGAATGGATTTTGGTGTATTTTAGATCTACTCTACAATATGGAGACAAAACTTCATGACGATACTCTTTGAGGGTTGAGTTCCATTCCATATGTTCAAACTGTTTGTATGCAATTCTGAATGGGAGGCAGACTGATAGTTAATCAAACTGTATCACATACACTGAATGGTGCCTCTATCATAGTAGGATGGAAAAACATGGGAAAGGGTAATATGTAGGGATAGTGAGGTTGAAGCTGGTGCATTTTAATCATTATTATTTATGTGTCTGGCTTATGCTGATCTTAAGAACAAACTAAGTAAGCATGAGAATTCCTGTTTAATAAAATACTTACCAAATTAAGCCTCAATTTAACCATACCTTTTTTTAGCTATGTTTGATTTGGTAAGTGTTCTTTACACACAGGTTCCATATATAGAGAATGTGCATTCAGTTTTTCGATTTCAAGCACACTTACTGGCATGACAAGTCATACAAACTTCTCAAAGGAGAAAAAAGAGACCAGTTTTTCAGGTATCTATCAGAAGTAGCTATGTTCTACATAGAATAGGGCTTTTCAGAGTTTGTCAATCCCTGGACTCATTGACAATACTCAAATTAACTTAGACTGGCCAGGATTATATTATGGTTACATCCTCTGTGTTAATTTCTCATTGCTGTTTATTCCTGATACAGTGGTACATTACTTTATACCAGTGGTACTCAAACTGTGGGTTCCCACTTTGGGTTCCCAGCCCTGTTTTAATAGGGTCACTAGGGATGGATTAGATTTGCTGGAATGTGGGGCCAAAGCTGGAGCCCAAAGGCTTTAGCCCTGGACAGGGTAGCTCAGGCTATAGGCCCCCTACCTGGGGCTGAAGCCCTTGGGTTTGGGGTCTAATCCCTCTCCACCCCCTACTCAGGACAGTGGGGCTCAGGCTTCAGTCCCTCACCCTGGTCGTGTAGTGATTTTTATTGCACAGTGAAGTTTGAGAACTCCTGCTTTACATGAGGAAGCTATCTCAATAGTCTTTCTCCAAGTATCAGGCAAAGTTTGTCGTATGTTAATGAAAAATCTTTGATTACATCTAATAATTTGAGGAAATTGTTTCTCACTCTTCCTCATATTTTGGGCTTTGAACAACTCGGGACTGGAATTAACTCTGAAATAATAATAATAATGCAGAAGAAATGTTATGGTTGTTCTTTCAAAAGTTTACAACTGAACCTTGACTTAATACAACTTTAAAACTTTACCATGCCGCAGAAAAATGCTGCTTTTAATCAACTTAATTTAAATGAAACAAGAACAGCAACAGCTTACTTACCTTGTCAAATCTTGTTTTTAAACTTAGCCTCTATTTTTTGTAAAGTTTACATTTTTAATGCAGTACTGTATTGCATTTTCTTTTGTGTGTGTGTGTGTGTGTGTGTGTGTGCGCGCGCGCTGCCTGATTATGTACTTCTGGTTCCATAATTCTTGCAGTTAATCCTGAAATTCATGAGCTTGAACTTCACACGATTAAATTTCCTAACATGTCTATTACTCTAGTTGTCCAAGTGAATACTCTAGTTGTTCAAGTCTTCTGTATAATATTCTGATCCTGCTCCATACTGGTTAGACCTCCCAGCTGAGTGTCATCTGCAGATTTTATTAGCATACTCCCTCTGACAGTTCACCCTTCAGTATGACCTGTTGTAGTCTGACCTTTAATCAATTCCGTAAAACTTTTAAATCATCATATTCAATTTAACTAATAATTTCCTATATTTAACTGTATCAGATTCTTTACTGAAATCAGGTATATTAAATCTACTGCATTTTCATTGAATACAAAATTGGTCATTTTCTCAAAGAGACCAGATTGGTGTGGCATGATCTACTTTTTGTAAAATAGGGTTGTATTTTTTCCCATATTCTATTTTTAGCCTGTCTAGTTATTTCTGGGTTGTTCTTTCCACAGTGACTTGTATATAGACCTTGTATGAACTTTTCAATCAAATGCCATTCCATCTAATATTGTTTTGTTGAAGGCAAAACCATTTATGGAGACATTTCAATTGTGATGAAGAGTTTGTTGGAAAAAAAATATTTGGGAGAGAGAATACCATACTCTATAGCCTGGTAGTTAGAATATTGGCTTGGGAGGGCAAGCACCCTGAAGTGAATAACCCAGCCCAGAGCAAGAGACATAGGCTAGCAGGGCTTATGTTAGCTCACTAAAAATAGCTGTGTAGGCAGCACATCATGAACCTGGGAGGCCTGCTGCTGTGGGCTGTTTGGACATACCTGGCAGATCCAGGTGCACCTCCATGCTGTATCTGATTCAGAGTGATATGACATGAAAAATTCTGCTCTGAATCAGGCAGAGTAGGGACTTGATCCTGGCTCTCCCACAGCCCTGTCCTGTGCCCAACCACTAGGTCATATACACACACTCACCTTCCTGGATATTCCTCTTTGTGAATCACAAACTTCAGGTGTCAAATATTTTGACATAATTCCCTTTTTTCTGAAACATTCACAGTGACCACAGAATGGAACAATTATCCTCTTACCTGCTCTGCTGTTTTACTGCTGGTTTAGGTGCAGCTCTGCATTTCTCAGTAGGGGACAAAGTAGTTTGCTCCAGTGATCAGAACATTTCTGTGGGTGAGAGGAGGAAGTGATAGATGCAGATGAGGCTTTTCATTTAGTATTCAATTCTCACTCCTTTTTTCCCCTGAATTTGCAGGGGTGAAGGTGATGATAAGATGTTTCAAGCTGCAGGGAGTGTTTGTTGCATTAGTTCATGTTGGATTAGAAATTAATCACCCATTTCTGTATATTGAAGAGAGGGGAATCCACCTAAGCAAGGGAGAAAAAATACTTTCAGGTAAGATCTGAAATGAATTGCAGAGCCGATGATGGAGTTAGACAGAGAAAGCTTTTCCTGATAACAGGAGCTACAGAGGACAAAAATATTATAAAAACAGTGGCATGCTAGGATAGTCAAATAAAGAGGAAGGTGGTGTTCCAGGTGGTAGAGAAAATTTGAAGTTGTGGATGAAGATTTCCACTGAGATGACCTGCTGTGGAGGTAGAAATAGACATATATAAATGTACGAAAAATGGGAGAAGGAGAAGATTTATAGGTCAAGGATTATACCAAGGACACAGATTTTTGGCAGAAAGAGACTGAGGCAAAGCAGAATAGAACAGAAACAGAATGGGAAAAGCACAAGTTTACTTGGTCAACGTAGGCAGAGAGGGATGCGTATTGATGCATGGTGAAGAGTGTAAATGGAAATCTGGTGAGATAGCTAATTTCATCAATGTACTCATGGTAGCTGAGATATCATTTTATCAAAGGGAGAGGAAGGAAAATAGAAAAGTGCAGTATCTTACAGCATACCAACAGACATGGCTGCACTCAAGGTTGAGTGAAAGTTTGGACTGTGAGAGTGGAATAAGAGGGACTTTGCATAGTTGTTGAGGCATTCCAGGATTGTTGCTTAATGGTGAACAATGCACATAAGTCAAGGAAAATAAGGAAGGCTCCTTCATAATACAAAGAAAGTTTTCTATTTCCCTATAGCTCCCCCTCTTTATCATTATTTGTTACTAACAGTTATAAGAAAGTGTCCAAATAAGAATTTTTGCAAATATCAAGCAACTCTTTTTTTTTCCTCTGGGGGAAAGCACCATAACTTCTGTTGTGGTAAATAAATTTTCACTATAATGTTGCTTCCTCTTTTATTAATAAAGAGGAAGATATGTGTAAATGGATTAGCCACACTCATGCACCTTCTTCTGGCACAAACACTGCACTTCCCTTTCTTTTCCCTCTTCCAGGCCCTTTCTCCGAAGACCCCACACACTTGATGATCCAATCACCATCCTTGCTGAGGCCTGGGTTTATTTAGACAAATAACTCAAAAGTAAAACTCAAAGTCTGCCAAATCTGTCCTGAGGCCTGACTCTGTCTTCAGAGGTGGGATGAACAAAAGGGTTTCTTCAGAGTCCTTTTTTCATGAGTTCTTAAGGGGTGCTATGACCTGCCCTGCTTAGAGCTGACTCCTCTGTCCTCTTCCAGAACTGCCTCAGGGTATGTCTACACTACCCTCCTAGTTCGAACTAGGAGGGTAGTGTAGACATACCCACATTGCTAATGAAGCCCGGGATTTGAATTTCCCGGGCTTCATTAGCATAAGCGGGGAG